TAAACAGAGCTAGGTTTACCTCTGCCTTAAGAAATTTCTTACTGATGGCTCCATGATTGCCAGTACATTTTTCCACAAAACCAACACACCGCACCTCTGAGACCCTGTGGGAATAGCCCTGGACCAGTGGTGATCATAGAAATGATAAGAGTTTATGGGAGACACAAGGAAGCAGGGAAGAGGGTGGTGCTAAAGGAACAAAAATGATACAGTATGGCAGGCAGAGACAACAGTAAAAAACAAGTGGGAGTCCTTTCCACCTCTGGGCTTGAAGGGTGAGAAGGCTCCTCCTTTATTACTGCCCTCAGCTGGAGTGGCCACTCAGGGAGAGGAGCCTCTGATAAGAGCCAGGGTCTTTAACTTGGGAGCAGAGCCACAGCCAAAGTAACTGACCCAGGTGAGAAGCAGCGGTGTAAACATCCGGACCAGCCTCCCTTCCTACCTCCTAACCACCGACTGTGTCCCACTAGCCAGCCTAACCGCAAGTGGGGGGGGGGGGCAAAGAAGAGAGCCCTAGTAATGGAGTCCCGAAGAAGGGTGGACAGCGAAGTTGGTGGAGGAAAGGAAGAGTCACAAACAGCTATGAGCGCCACAGAATAGACCATCCACTCAGGGAATTAACACCTTTTTCCAGGTGTGGTAACAGTAAATAAAACAGGTAAGATTCCTGGCATCCTCAAGTTACTGTCTAGTACATGATGGCGTAGACTAAGACAAGTTTCTCTGTTCAGGTACTGGCAGATGCCACGAAGGAGAAGCAGCAGCACAGGCGTGGTGCAGCGTCTTTAGGCCAGGTGGTCAGGACAGGCTTACAGGAGGAGGTGACATCTGAGAGAAGGTGAGCTGGGCTTCCCCAGGAAGGCCTTCCTTTTCCACTCCCAGCCTTCTTTCTGGGTGTGTGTGGTGGTGGGGGGTGGGGGCTGTTGTGGGTAAGCCTCCTGCCTAAACTGTGATTTAGAAGCATCAGATGACACTTTAGAGGCATCATCTTGAAAACGTGAAAAAGGACTACAAGATGAAAAATAACAATAAACATCCCATTCAGTGTAACTTGGAAGCCTCCTTCTCCACACTCAAGGCCATGAGCTCACAACACCCAATGTTGTCTCTTATCAACCCCATATGACAAACAAGAACACTGTAAAGCAGAAACAGGGCGGTCGATGCCTATCCTCTCACTCCCAGCAAGAACAGGGAGTTGGAAATGGAAACTCGACTCCCCCATACTTCTCAGTCCTTTGAAGCTCTGCAAAGAGCAGTTGAGTTTCTTGTTTTCCTCCTTGGTGGCCCAAAGAAATGAACTTAAGAAAAATTCTTCCCAAACCCACTCTCCTCCCAATTCAAAAAAAAAAAAAAGTAAAAGACTGTGGCCGGGACGTCAAAGGTGGGTCTCAGCAGCCGCAGCCCAGCCTCTCCTATCTCTGACATCCAACAGATCAGTCCTGGGTCGATTTTCCTATACCGCTGCGTTCCCCACTCCTTCTTGTCAATTTTAGGCGTGTCCCTGGACTGAAACCCGCAGTTCGAGTTCGTAAGAAGAAGTTCGAGTTCTTAGTCAATAAAGTCAAAGTAGTTTTCTTCCCTAGCAGCTCGCTCCGTCAGCTCCCCCAACCCCCACTCCAAGGCCAAAAAAAAAAGAAAAAGAAAAAATAAAGTGGGGCGGGGGCTAAGGCCGGGGAGAGGCGGCATCGCTAGCTGCCGGGGTCTACATTTTGTATTTCGCTGACAGCCCAGGGCCGCTGCAAAGCCCTCCGCGCAGCCAATGGGCAGCGGTGATTTATGGAGCTGACTAATGCTGGCTGAATGCGGCCTGTCAGAGCGCAGTGAATGGCTTCCCTCCGCCACACAAGCCCCGGCTTTGTGTTGCTAAGCGATTAGAGCAGATGTAATGAGATTTTGCCCAATCCCCGCTTTGCCCTTTCCTAGCTTCGGCAAAATTGTGTGTGTTTTTGTGAATTTTTAGAGTTTGCCTTCGCATTGTGGCAAACAACGGCTAACTTTGCCTCGAGTTTAACGAGACTGGATATTTCCCATTCAGAAGTGAGTAAAAGAACACCTGTCTTCACAAGGAGAAGGGGGGGAAAATCCCCTTTGTGGGGGCTGAAACATTATCCTAATGTTATATTCATAGCCATAAATGACTTGCTACACTTTCTTTGCGTACCTTATCTGGAAACTTGCAAAGGAGCTAAATTAAAAGAAAAAGAAGTGGGGAGGGGGGAGGGAGGGCGGGAGAAAGGAGGGAGTCTAGCCCTGGTCCTCCAAATGAGAAGATAAAAATAAAAGCAGGCATCACAAAGGCATTACTTCCCTCAAGTAAGCTCTAAATTGGCTCACTGCTGGCAGAAAGTCCGATTATTTATGGCGATGAGGAATTTACTGATTTTTTTCCCTTAATTACGCTCATCTCTTTGAAAGGGACTGAAACCTCCATTGCATTCTATAGAGGGTCATTTAGCAAAATGACATCAGACGCTGTGGCTTGCTTCGCGCATCGCGGCTTTAAAAAATGATTATTCTGTGCCACTAAATGGTATAGATGTACCAACACAGACTAGATTTTTAACTCTGGAAGACGTGTTGGCTCCCCGTTCTTTGTTGGGTTTTGTAAGATGCATTTTGCGCTGGGCTTTCCGCTTGGCTGGAGACACGCAAACTGAATGCGAGTAATACAGCCGGCGAGCGAGGGGCCGGGGAGAGGCGACTAGGATTCTGAGCACGTCCTTGCTAACTGACAAGAAGCAAGCCAGCCAAAAACCCACCAATTTCTTTTTGAATCTTGGTAATTGGGTACTTTTACACGCAGCTCACGCTATTCGGATAGAGTCACAAGCTTAGATAGGCCAGTGTCTCAAAGCAACCACACATTTCTAAGGCTTTTATTTATTTAAATCTAACTTCTTCTGCAAGGAATTCACATCACAACATGCCCTTTACTTAAAATCAATATGGAAAGTGTGTGTATTAGGGAAAAGGAGGTGGACTGTGTGTGCCTGGATGGGAGGGTAGAACACAGACACCACTGGGAATGTGGGAAGGAGCACCCCCACCCACACCCCAACTCCAGCACCCCATCCTGTCACCCCCATCCCCACCCCCAAACTTCAGCACCCCATTCTATCATCCTCCCTGTGCCCATTTCTCTGTGGGCCCTTTTGCAGTTTCACTATGAGGAACTCAGAATGAGTGACTGGGGTGAGGACTCTTTGCAGATAATTTGTGGGGGTGGAAGTTTTAAAACATACAGTCATTTCATCAAAGGGTGGCGCAGCCACCAGGCACCACCTGTTCTCTATACTTGCAAGAGAAGACAGCAAGCAAACCTCTATATGCTTTTTTCTCCAAAGTCACCAGAGTCACTTTGGGTGGGCCTAGTCATGGACTTATCTTGCTCGGTTCTGCCACGTAGATGGCTTTGCAGCACCTTCTACCCCTCGGCTCCTCCCCCTTGGCATTCCCATAATAATTTGGACAGTGGAAGCAAATAAGACATGGAGGCAGCTGATTATTTTCATTTGTAAAAAAAGGAAAAAAAATTTTATTACGAAACTAGTTTGTATAAAACAGGGTTATACATGTTTTTTTTTTTGTGAGTTTGTAATAAAACAGTAAGGAAAAAAAGGCAGTGATAGAAATCTCCAAAAGGCAACCTATCAAATCCTACTGGCTGCCACTTTGCGTTTGGACAGTAGCTGCATAAAGTTTGTTCTTTTTGAACAGTATTTAATAACATCATTAATACATTAACAACGTTTCTATAAAGTAAGACACATCGGTGCTGAAGTACATCTGGTGGTCTTTTGACCTCACCTATGAGGAGAGTTCTTTACAAAACCACATAGGGAAAATGGCAGTCATAAGGTGAGCTACACATCTAAAATATGCAGAGGTAATAGCATTACATGTTAAAGTATCAAGATATACACATTTTAAACCATTTGTACAAAACTCTATAAATTTTTTTCTCTTTCTCTCTTATGTACAAAAATATCTTAATATATCCCCAAACTGGTTAGGATAGATACAAATAGATTTCTTATAATAAAAAATTCACAAAAGATTGGAAGCATTCTATGATGAAAAACAGTAGAAAAGATGGTGTGAGGGAGGGGATGGGGCTTGGGGAGGAGGCCCCTGGTGGGGGAGGGGTTTCAAAGGACTAAGTATAGTATAATTTCACTGCAGGCCAAAAGTCCACAGCTTACTGGGTGGGGGGGTGCGGAGAGGAAAGACACCAGCCCACGTCTAGTTGGTGAAGAACTGCTTTTGAGAGAGCGGAGAGGTAAAGGCACCAGAGGAAGCAGTTTGCGCTCAGCCTGTGAGTGGTGGGTGGGAGTTTCTAGGGGCGCACGCTGCTGCTCTCCCGCGGGAGCCCACTGGCTTTTGCACACAAGCTGCATTTTGCGGTTGCCGCAGGTCCGGGTTGCTCTTCCTATCTCCATGAATGAGTGGAGCGCCAAAGACACCTTCTGAGCGCATTGAGAGCTCTGCTCCTCAGGCATGCGTCTCTTAGTCGGCCTTGGAGTTGGTTGTCTGGTTTTAACATTTCTTCTTCTCCTCTGTTTTCCTTCTCCCCCTCCCCCTTCTTCCTCCCTTCCAACGTCGCTGACGAGAAAGCAGTAAAGATGCAGGCTGTGTGGTCACCCTATAACACAAGGAGAAGAACGCAAAAGGTTAGCGTGAACTTGGTGGCTCGTGGCAGAGGCAAACAGGGGTTTGGGAGAGGATCTGTCCGGGTAGAGGCTCTCTTCTGACAGGTGCAAGGACTGGGCTCAGCGAGCACCCCCACCTCACCCCTAGGGACCCTAAGAGGCCAGTACTGACACTAACAACGTGGGGCTTGAGATCACAAGCTTGAACAGATCTGTTACGTCGCCCCGTCCCATCTCCTGGGAGATGAACCTCTCCTCCAGATACCAAAGCGGAGGGGAGAGGATGAAGACAGGAGGATGCACCTGTCCCCTCTAAGTCGCCACCTACCTGCCCTCCAGGTCCATTCCCACTGGGGCCTGACGAGGCCGAGCCCCTCAGAACCAGTTGGTGAAGTCCAGCAGCTCTTGCTCCTCAGGGCTGAGCGGGTCATAAGAGCCCTCATCTGAGGAGTAGGACGAGACCGGCGACCCGGCCATGGAGTTCATGTCGTTGGAGTAGTTGGGGGAGATGGTGGGCGACAGGACGCCGGCCTGGAAGGCGGCGCTCACCGCGTCGTGTTCGTCCAGCAGCTGCTGCAGCGCGCGGATGTACTCCACGGCGGAGCGCAACGTCTCCACCTTGCTCATCTTCTTGTTGGCGGCGCCGTTGGGGACGTGCTCCCGCAGGGTGGCGAAGCCCAGGTTGACCAGCTTGACGCGGTTGCGCTCGCGCTCGTTGCGGCGCGCCACGGCGGCAGGCTGCTGCTGCGGCAAGCTGTAGCCGAAGCCGCTGAAGTTGAGCCGGCGTTTGCAGCGCATCAGCTCGGGCGAGGACGAGCGCTGCCGCTTGACTTGCTTGGTGGCTGACTTGTGACCGCCCCCTGAGGGCTGGCTGGCGGCCGCCGCGCTCAGCTGCGGCGCCTGCGGCGGCTGCGCGGCTGCCGCGGTGGCAAAGAAGCAGGCTGCGGGCGGCAGGAAGGGCTGCTGGGGTGGCGGCTGGGGCTGCTGGCCCGAGCTGCCGCTCTCCATCTTGGCAGGGCTCTCCATGCGCAGCGGCCGCCCAAGAGTCGCGGGATGGGAGCGAGCGGGGACGCGACGTGCGGGGCGCGCGCGGGGGACAGGACGTAGGTGCGAGGACAGAGAGGGAAAGGGGCAGAGAGACGAAGGGGCAGCCCGAGGGACGTTGAAAGAAATACAAACCCCCCCGGGAGACTTCTTTGGGGGGCAGCCGAGAAGGTGCAGTGCTCTTCCTCCGCCCTCCACGCCCTGCGCTCCTCCCTCCCTTCTCCCTTCGCGGGTTGGCTTCGGGAGCCTCGCGTGGCGCTCGCGTGTGAGGCTGCCGCTAGCGGCTTCTTGTTAAAAAAAAAAGAAAAAGGCAACAGAGAAGCAAAAGTCAGGGGTGGGCGCGCTCTTCTGTGTCCGGTCCTTCCCCAGGGCTGTGCCCGCTTGCGCTGGGTCTCGCTCTGTCCAGCCGCGGTTCAGGCCCTTTTTATTTATTTTTGGCGGCTCACCCCCTTTCTTAGTTCCTTCTTTCACTCGCCCTCCCCGGCCGGCTCCCTGTCGGTGTGCCTTCCACGTTCCCTGGCCAGAAGTGAGAGAGTGCTGGGCGGCCGGAGAGCGGCCGCCTTTTCAATGGGACACCCAGCCCCACGCGCAGCCTGGCCCCGCCTCGGCCCCACTCCCCGCTGCTGCTGCGGGCGGCTGCAGCCCCCACTCCCCCTCCGCTTACCTCCTCCTCCCACCCAACTCCCCAAACTCCCCCTCCTGTTCACCCCTCCTCCGCCTGCTCCCGAGTCCGCTCCTTGCAAACTCCCCATTCAGCCGGGTTTGTTGTTGCAGTGCGTGCGCCCGGCGCGTGCCGGACTCCCGGCTGAATAAACAGGAGGCGCGCTGGGGCGGGCTGCGGCCGGGGGTGGTTCCGCAAGGGGGGGCGGGCGTCGCAGCAAGGGCAAAGGGCTCTGGGGATTGGGGGTATGGGTGGAAAGATGTGGGGGGAAGTGTCCCGGGATTGTCCAGGGAACTTGAACAAACCACGGGGAACAGTTTGGCAAAAAAAAAATAGAGGCAAGGGGGACTGTGCCGAGGTTAGGGGCAGGGGACTCCATTTACCCAGTTTTTGTTTTCTCTTGCCCACTGTCATTCAACTGGGGACGTGCCCTGTCCTTGGACGCCTACGCAATGTTGAGATTGAAGTTCAGAGACATGGGGGTGGGGTGGGGGTAACTCCGTGGAAAAACTGGACGGTGAAAGTACCGTTGAGACGTGGGTTCCAGTCCCAAAGTGTCCTCTCCCTGGCCCTTGTGACCCGTGGTAAGTGACATTCTCTAGGAGCCTCCGTGTATCGCCCTGGGAACTGATGTTTTTTTAATGCCCAGTGGTTTCAGGTGGCGTCTACCGTCCCATCCAGGTGTGAAAACTAGGGTGTCCTCCAGCTTTGCAAGTGTGAGGGGTGCCTGGGAGGAGGAAGTGGACGCGCTGAGGGTGAGGGGTGCTTGTGATCACAGCTGTAGGTAGGTGAGGACCTGTTGTGCCCCCAGGAGGTCCCCTGACCTGCCCCTATCCTCGCCGGCCGCCCCTCCTCCCGGGGCTTGTTTCGGGACCAGTTGGGGTGTGCCAAAAGAGGGGCCTCGCTGGGATGCTCCCGGCCTAGATCCGAATAAAAAAGCTGTGGGGCAGGAGGGAGAGGGTGATGGCGCTTGTTGGGATGGAGAGGTTCCCTGGCGGTTCGGCGCTGCCACGGCACCTCGGCGGCCTTGGCTCTGTGTCCATCCCGCCCCAGGCGTGTGCCCGGCGGGCCGGTGGCAGGCGACTGGGAGCGGAGCCCGGTGGGGCCGCGTGCTGGCGCCGCGAGGGAGGGGGAGGCGCTTACAGCGGTCGCTCGGCCGCTGGGACCGCGCCCGTCCAGGCGCCCTTCCTGGGCCTTGGGCCCTGGCGTTGTCTGGCGGAGCCGGGTCCAGCCTCGGGCCTTGGGATGCAGCGCTGCGGGGAAAGCGAAGCGAGCCGCGGGCCAGGCGGCATCTTTGTGCCGCCGACTTCTCTGCAGGAAAGCGAAGGAGGCAGGGCGCACCTCATGTCCCCCCACCGCCCGAAGAAAGGCCAGGCCGTCTTGGGGTTGATTTGTCCAGTAGACACAGGCAGCTCTGACCGGAGACCTGGGTGCAGAGAGGACCTTGGTGAGCTGCGGAGATAAGAGCTTCTCCTGGGCTTCTCTTTCTAAAGCATCTTGGGGAGTGGGGGTTCAGTGGCGAGGGTGGAGGCTCTCTGGTGTGCGTGGCAGCAGCTGAGAATTGAAGGCACAATGTGGTAGGGGAGTACAGCAAAGGCAGGTGGCTTCCAGGCGAGCCCCTCTCTTCTCTGCCTCAGTTTCCTCTTTTAAGTCAGGTGGATTTGGGAAGCCTGGGGCCCACTCTGTGCCCTCTGTAAACCTCCCCCCTCCAGGCTCCCACCATACACACAGCTACCTTGTGATTTGCTGACTTTCATTTCTTTGCTGAGCCCCCACTGGATTTACTCTCCTTGTCTCTCCTCTCCCAGCCCTCAACCCCCAGGAAAGGAGCTGAGAGGTCTCCAAGAGCACAGTTGCCTTCTCTTTCCAGAAGCATAGGATGCCGAAAGCAGAGCAACACCACCTGCTTTCCACCCCAGAAGCCTCTGCACACCCGGTGAAGCGGCTTTATTCCAGTGCTGCCTGCGTGGACACCCAGGCTTTGAGCTTTGGGTGCATGGCTAGGAGACCTCCTTTGGCTTCACCTGCTCCTCTTTAGGTAAAGACTCGGGCTGGTGTATGGAGGGTGGGGTGAGAGTATCTGCTGAACTCTTCCACGTCAGACTCTCTCATGCTTCGCTTGACAAAGGCCTTAGTGCTGGCTTTACCACCATTTTGCATTGTGACTTTGCCCAAGTGCACCTTCCTTCCCTGGCCTCAGTGCCTGCATCTGTAAAGGTTTCCAAATGTAACTAGGGGCACAGAGAATTTGCAGTAGGAGAGCTGGTGTGTCTTCTGTTTGCTCTTTGGCTGCCAGCTTCAAGGAAGCACAATCACGAGGGGCTTTGCTGAAGCCAAAATCTAAGGCTAACACCCAACTCCTCATGGCATCTCCCCAATGAGTGACCAAATACCTGAATAGAAGTATCCAGTACTGAAGCCACACACTGGAGGGGGCTTTGGGCTGCCCCTCTGCCCAGGAGAATGAACAACACCTGGGAACCCTTTTTCTTTCCTCCCAGCTCTAGCCTAGAGGAGCCCACACCTGCCCTCAGCCTTTGAAAATCCCTAAGAACCCAGGTTTCATCATCTTCCTAAGCATGCAAGAAGAATGCTCCCCACCTCCCTCCTAGCCCAGCCCATCATTTGTCACTTCCACTATTTCCAGCCCTAAGGTTTCCAGCCCTAAGGTCAGGAGACCACTTTAAGGGCAGGGGACTCTGGACTGCCAAGGGGAATGTTCTCCCCAAACAAGATCTTTAGATGTTTTCACTGGCTAGAATCCTGTCTCTGATCCAGTGATCTAGATAATACCCCGCACCCTCCCACACACATACCTGAAAAGAGCTTCTTGCTCTCCTAGGCCCAGAGACCACCAGCCTGATCCTGGGGGGGAAGATAGACAGCCAGTATCCCACATTCTGAATGCTGGCTTGCTCTTCTATAGACCCAGAGCCATAGTACCCCCTCAAGAGGGATAAGATTTCAGTGAGAAAGATGGTGGGCAGCCTCAGGTCAGGTGTCAGCATGGGTAGAGATAGCCCTCCTGGCCCTGCAAGAAGGTCACACTTGCTCACACAGCCCATGAAGGCTCTGTGCATAAGGACTCTGGCCCCTGGGGCCACACTAGCATCATTGCTCCAGCTCTTGGGGAGTCAGTGCCCCCCACTCCCAGCATGGGGAGGTGGATCATGCTTGAGGAAAGGTGATGGAGACAGGAACCAAGTTTTTAACATAAGCAGTGGTAGGTGAGAGCAAATATGCATACACTTCATCTCACTCACACACACACACACACACACACACACACACACAGCAAGTGTGTTTTTTGTTTCTTAAATAAGGTGTGACTTCAGCAGAGCCACTGGGCTTGATCTGCCACTTTTGGGGCTCCCTTGTCACCTAACGGGCAGGCTCTGACCAAGTCCACAGGGCTGAACTCGACTGGACACTCAAGGACCTGTTTATCTAATGTGGAGGGGGAAGATAAGGAGTCACAAAGGGAGAGTCTGACACCTTGGACCATAAATGGACAGTGACTCATCCTTTGCTCACCTGTCAAAGCTGTCATGAGAATTAAATCTGATGCTGTTTGCAAACCACTCCACACTTATCAGGGGTTGCCTTTCTTGCACTGGAGAGGCCAGGCACTTAGCCCCTTGGGCTTGTGTTACCCAGAATGCAGATATCCCAGAGAAATGGAAGGTTTCTCTTTTTCCTCCCAAACAATAAGAGCCTTAATCTCTCTACCTTCAGACCCCTCTTCTGTGCCAGCTCTTGGAGCTGATCCAGACCTTAGATTAACACTTATCTGCCTTTGACACTGGGGTTTACTCAGGGAGGTGACCATGTGGTGACCTGACCTGCTTGCACCATGTTAGGAAGGAGGCAGTCAATGTCTAGGGACCTCTCTTCCACTCCCTTAATTTTCGCTTACAGTTGAAGGCCAGACCAGCACCCCTGTGCCCATACATTCTCCTAAATGCCCAGAACCATGTACCTTCTCTCTGTGGCAAGGACCTATGCCACCTCTCATTAACAACAACAACAACCCACCTATGTTTCTCTGGGGGGAGGGGAATTAATCTTAAATGTGAAACTAAGCTTGCCTTGAACCGATCTTCCAATAAAACACATTTAGAGCAGATCCTGAGTAAAGGGCAAGAGAGTACAGAGAAACACAGGTGGATTCTGGACTGGACAAGATGGTTAGTGTAGGCCACAATTTAGGGGAGCTTTAAGCCCTGGAAGACATGGGTGCTTTGAGAAAGTGAGTGTGCTGGTTATTGACTGCCGATCCTGGGTGTCCAGGAGCTATATATAGCACAGAGCATCCCTCCCA